GAAAAAAGGGGGGGGGGGGGGGGGGTAAGTATCTCTAGATGTAAAAGATAAGTGGTGTGTTAACAAATATGTTTAAATGAGGGTCAAATAGCACATTTAGAATGCAATGGATCATTCCTTACTGAGCGATTAGCGCTCACCCTTTCATTGTTGATTGCTTTGCAGGTAGACCAGAAGCGAAGGATGCTAGAGACAGCGGGGCTACATGTGAAGGGAGATGATTTATTGTCATCTTGATGTAAGTAGTGTAAATGATAAATGTTTGTGAAACACCTTTGGAAACTTCCACCCTATAAATATGTTTTGATTGTGTAATGTCCGGATAAATTCTTAACGTTTTTGAAATTATAAGTTTGGATCTTGCATGACATCTTATATGCATGTTTTGGGTATTATTATTATTATCCTTACCCAGTTTTTTTCTATATACAACTCGTTCTCCAGACATGTATCCCTGGGATTCTTATTGAGGGATATTCAAATGATACTTAACTGGAGGGGGAGAGGGGTTATATATATATATATATATATCTTGTTAAGGGCATTTCAATAAAATAATAGGTGCATTTGTTTAGTTATTTTAAGTAGTATTTTTGAAATATTATTGGTAGGTAGAGTTGGGTGATTATTACGAGATAGAATTTAAAAACTAACAAAAAAAAAAAAAAAACCCCTAGGTTTGCTAATTTAACTAAACACCTCAATATATAAAAATTTTATAAAATGACAAAAACACCCCCACCCACCCACAATTGCCAGATTCCAGCCACCACTGCTGGAATCTGGCCAGAATCTGACGTTACGGAGTGCGACCAGTCAGATCTGGCCAGTCGTGCATCAATCTAGCATTTTCCAGCTAGATCCGTGGGATCTGGCATTTTTCGGCTAGATCCACCACGGATCTAGTTGAAAAAGGCCAGATCTACGGCCAAATCTGGTCGTCAGTGACGGCTAAAGATATGGCCGTCGTTCACGGCCAGATCTCACCTTTTTCAGCCAGATCGGCGTATTACCGGCTAGTTCCGGCCGGTAGTACGCCGTTGTGATAGATTCCGGCCACCACCGATGATGGTTACCGGAATCTGACAACTATGAGTGGGTGGGGGTGTTTTTGTCAATTTATAATTTTTTTTGTTGGGGTGTTTTTGTCTATTAACAATCCTATGGGGTTTAAAAAAAGTTTCTTAATTTAGGATATGATTTTGAAAATAGGGAAACAAATGCACATTTTTATTTAGAATAGAGACAGAATAGTGGTAAAATAACGAAACAAACGCAACCTATATTTTGTAATTACTGTCAACCAAACACATTTATTAATTATTTATACGGGCATATGAACCAAACACAATAATAATTTATAACCATTAATCTTCAAAATATATATCTCACTGGTAATTCTATCTTTTTTATAATTAAACATTGTTGGAACCAAACATCCCCTAGGCCATTTTTGTTATCATAACATTGGATAGTAGCACTTTCCTTAAAGTGTTAAATATAAAAATTGTTATCATAACATTTTAACATCAAGTATTACCATAAATAGTCTACAGTAACACTTTAAGGAAAAATGTTACTGTCCAGTATTACCGTAAGCCATTTTTGTTGTAGTGCCTAAAAAAATTACGAGTTAGAAAAACTTAACCAAGTGTAAGGTGGGGTTAAGTTTTAAATAAAATAATGTTGTACATACGAATTAACGAACATGCATGCATTTTTCTACATTATTTGTGGCATACGATCAATTGATGAATAGTATATGAAGCGTTGAAATAAAGATATACCATTTAAATGATGATTTGTTGTCACATCAATTTTATATAGAACATTGCTACTATATATGCACAAAATTAATCTTAAAGAAAAATCTTTCCAAACCAACTCTTTGATAAGTTGATTTGGAAGAATTTACTGCTCCTTTGCCTACAAAAAGGATGGGCACTGAAAGGTAACTTTCAAGTGGGATATTTTGAGAGTAATACTACATTTACACCATCTATTAAACCATTTTCATTACACCATGATGTGACATATCCCACATCCACACAAATTTTTAATTTTTTTGAATTTTTAATATTATAATAAAATAATTATTAGTAAAATGGTGATGGTGTAATGAAAATGATGTAATGGGTGGTGTAAATGTAGCATTACTCATATTTTGATGTATATTTTCACACCAAAGAAACTCGTGACTTTCCTATATAATGTTACACTATCTAGTTTTATTAATTTTAAAAGAGTAAACGACATGTTCCCATCCAAGGTTTGACGAAATCCCAAGTTAGTCCCATTGGTTCCATTTATTCCAAATTCTCACCCTTAAAGTGACGGAAAAACGTTTGATGTAACGGTAAAGGGGTAAATTGGTCATTTTACATGGGCGGCGCACGTTAGCAGACCACCGCCTCTAACAGTCCTCTGGCGCACATTAGCAGCCGTCATTCCCGACGTTTTTCGCTCTTTTCTGGCAATTCTTCCACCCAAAATCACCCTTGTCACCACCATTTGAACCCCCATCCTCCCTTCTACAAAACCATACCATTCACAACCCCTCATTACTCGCCGATCTCCGGCCACGGCAACGAAAAACGACCGATGAACACGAACTCTCGGCCGGCGAATGACGACGAAATGGTTGCTGGGGATATAGGGGTTTTATATATTTCGGGACGGTGGTTGCATTGGTGGTATCCAATTGGATTTTCACCGCCGGAATCGACCGGAATCCGATGAAGAACACCGAAACCCTAAGCCTAACGGTGCCGGCGATTGGAGGAGCAAATGAGTTGGGAACCAGAGGGGTTTTGGACGACGGACTACAGGGAAGATGATAGAGGTGACCAGGGGGTTCGACGTCATCAGAAATAGCCCAGGTCGGGCTGTTTCCGGTGAGGGTGTATAGTGACCGAGGGTGTTTTTGATATAATTTGAAAATAAAATGGTAAGTTTTATAATTCTACTAATTTAGGGGTTAAAACATAATTTATTAATTTAGGGTTAAGGGCATTATGGTAATTGCACCCTCTAAACCCTAAAAATTCGTAACACTGTTACTTTAAGGGTGGAAATCTGGAATAAATGAAACCAGTGGTCCTAACTTAGGATTTCATCAAACCTTGGGTGGGAATATGTTGTTTACTCATTTTAAATTTTTTACATCATATTGCATCAATTTATATGTTATTGAAAACTCATAAGTCACGTACAGTTCTCTGAATCCAGTTATATGTTATTGAAAATCTCGTCGATGTTTAATTTTCTTCNTAATAGGTGCGTTTGTTTAGTTATTTTAAGTAGTATTTTTGAAATATTATTGGTAGGTGAGTTGGGTGATTATTACAAGGTAGAATTTAAATACTAACAAAAAAACCCCTAGGTTTGCTAATTTAACTAAACATCTCAATATATCAAAATTTTGTAGAATGACAAAAACACCCCCACCCACCCACAATTGCCAGATTCTGGCCACCACCTCTGGAATCTGGCCAGAATCTGACGTTACAGAGCGCGACCGGTCGGATCTAGCCAGTTGTGCATCGATCTAGCATTTTTCAGCTAGATCTGTGAGATCTGGCATTTTCCGGCTAGATCCACCACGAATCTAGTCAAAAAAGGCCAGATCTACGGCAAAATCTGGTCGTCAGTGACGGCCAAAGATGTGGCCGTCGTTCATGGCCAGATCTCGCCTTTTTCTACCAGATCGGCGCATTAGCGGCTAGTTTCGGCCGGTAGTGCGCCGTTGTGATAGATTCCAACCACCACCGACGATGGTTACCGGAATCTGGCAACTATGGGTGGGTGGGGATATTTTTGTCAATTTATAATTTTTTTTGGTGGGGTGTTTTTGTCAATTAACAAACCTATGGGGTTTAAAAAGTTTCTTAATTTAGGATATGATTTTGAACATAGGGAAACAAATGCGCATTTTTATTTAGAATAGAGACAGAGTAGTGGTAAAATAACGAAACAAATGCAACCTATATTTTGTAATTACTGTCAACCAAACACATTTATTAATTATTTATACGGGCATACGAACCAAACACAATAATAATTTATAACCATTAATCTTCAAAATATATCTCACTGGTAATCCTATCTTTTTTATAATAAAACATTGTTGGAACCAAACATCCCCTAGGCCATTTTTGTTATCATAACATTGGATAGTAGCACTTTCCTTAAAGTGTTACATATAAAAATTGTTATCATAATATTTTAACATCAAGTGTTACCATAGATAGTCTACAGTAACACTTTAAGGAAAAATGTTACTGCCCAGTATTACCGTAAGCCATTTTTGTTGTAGTGCCTAAAAAAATTACGAGTTAGAAAAACTTAACCAAGTGTAAGGTAGGGTTAAGTTTTAAATAAAATAATTTTGTACATACGAATTAACGAACATGCATGCATTTTTCTACATTATTTGTGGCATACGATCAATTGATGAATAGTATATGAAGCGTTGAAATAAAGATATACCATTTAAATGATGATTTGTTGTCACATCAATTTTATATAGAACATTGCTACTATATATGCACAAAATTAATCTTAAAGAAAAATCTTTCCAAACCAACTCTTTGATAAGTTGATTTGGAAGAATTTACTGCTCCTTTGCCTACAAAAAGGATGGGTACTGAAAGGTAACTTTCAAGTGGGATATTTTGATGTATATTTTCACACCAAAGAAACTCGTGACTTTCCTATATAATGTTACACTATCTGGTTTTATTAATTTTAAAATTTTTACATCATATAGCATCAATTTATATGTTATTGAAAACTCGTAAGTCACGTACAGTTCTCTGAATCCAGTTATATGTTATTGAAAATCTCGTCGATGTTTAATTTTCTTCCTGTAATTTTCATCGTCTTAGTAATGAAATTCTCGTAGTAACATATAAACAATACGAAGAGAAATCCCATTTCACATACCAAGTTCCTTTCGAGATTACATTATTACATGCAGATAAAGTTTCTAAACTATTCTTTTACACTTCATGGTCACATCTACATCTTTTAGGCAAAGCAAATAATGGTTTAGCCTTTCGAATGGCTATGCCCAATTTATCCTTCATATCCATGCTCTCCTTACACACATTGCTACCAAGTTCCCAATCAAATTCATGAAGCAACGACCCCAACGTTAGGTTCAGCATTCGGTGAGCTAAGGGAAGACCTACACATATTCTTCTCCCAGCTCCAAATGGAATGAATTCATAATTTTGGCCCCTGTAATCAACCGTAGAGCCTAAAAATCTTTCAGGTTTAAATGACAAAGGCTCATTCCATGCATCTGGGTCTCTTGCAATTCCCCAAGCATTTACCAGAACTTGTGTATTTTTGGGTATGTGATAGCCATGGAATTTTGTGTCTTGGGTCGCGCTTCGGGGAACAAGGAACGGAACCGGAGAATGCAATCTTAGAGTTTCTTTAATCACGGCCTGCAGGTATGGGAGATTTTCAATGTCACTTTCTTCAACCATTCTCTTTGATCCAACTACTTGCGCAAGTTCAGCTTTGGCTTTGTTTAATATCTCCGGATTTCGAAGGAGCTCGGACAATGCCCATTCAGTGCTGCCACTTGTTGTTTCTGAACCGGCAAAAAACATTTCCTACCAAGAAAATGGGCAAAACCTTTAAATGAGCACTGTACAAAAATCTAAATTCAACAAATTCAAAGAAGATGAAGCTTAACGATTACCAGTATAAAGACGACGATGTCTTTCTCAGAAAATTTTGCTGGCTCATCCTTTCCGTTACCTTCAAACTCAAGCAACACATCCAAAAAATCTTTCCTCTTCTCATTTCCTCTTTTTTTTTTCTTCAACTCTCTTCTTAACAAACCTTGAAGCGATCTCCAAAGCCTTGCCAAGATCTCTTTCCGCATTTCTCCTTAATCATTGCGGATCTAGCCACCGCAAGAATGGGAAAAAATCTGCAATATTTGGTTGTCCTGACCATTCCATTAACCTTGTCATTACCGTGAAAAAATCTGCGCCATCCTCTGAATCGGGCTCCAATAAATCGCGCGACAGTGTAAGGTTCCCGAACGAGTTAAACGTCGCGAGGAACACGAAACGTGCTGCTGGTTTTGGAGCTGGAGAATTCTAAGGAAAAACTACTGTTATGATGGCACACACATTGAAAAATGTTGCATACGGGAATTGTTTTTTATTGAACAAAAATGCTGAATATAAAACATGGTTTGCACTGCAGTTACACCTCCTCTGCAGCAGGCTTACAATCAAAATTAAACAGCCATACTTTACTAACTACTACAAACACATCACATTACATTAACACCTAATCAACAGCAGATTTTTAGCTGAATTCACCTAAGATAAACATTATAAAAATTAAAGAAATGCTGGTGCATTACAGTAGAAACTAACAGCAACAGAACACCAGATTTTTGCCGCCAGAATATCCAGCTCCAGTATTACAAAAATGGAACCAACTTCCTAAGTTTCCAGCATAATATCATCTTGATCAATACTCCTCCTTGATATTCATGCTGGAAACTCCAAGTTTGAGTCTGAATTCTACAAACTTGGACTTGTTCAACCCTTTGGTCATAATATCAGCAACTTGGTTCTCTCCCAATCAATGAACTAAGCTGATTTCTTTGCTTTGCTCTGCCTCTTTCACAGCATGGTATTTAATTTTGATATGTTTAGTTGGACCATGGAGAATAGGATTCTTAGCAATTGCAACAGCTAACATGTAATCACAATAAATGGTGGTAGACTCATCTTGATTCAGCCTCAAGTCTGCCAGAATTTTTCTCAACCAGACTGCCTGGTTTGTAGCAGCTACAGCAGAAATGTATTCTGCCTCGATAGTAGATTGAGCCATTGTATCTTGTTTTTGGGAAAGCCAACTGAAGGCACCATGGTTAACAAAGAAAACATATCCAGAAGTGCTTCTCATGTCATCAACTGAGCCTGCCCAATCACTGTCTAAATACCCAATTAGACTGAATTTTTCAGCCCTTTTGAACCAGATTCCTAACTCAGTAGTCCCCTTAATGTACTGTAGCACCCTCTTTGCAGCCTTGTAATGCATCTCACTTGGCTTACTCATGAATCTGGACAGGAGGCTGGTGGTGTACATCAAATCAGGCCTGGTTGCTGTCAAGTACAGCAAGCATCCTATCAAGCTTCTATAGACTCCTTCATCCACCCTCTTGGCACCATCTTCCTTGCTCAGCTTTTGGCTAGGAATCAGTGGAATATCAACTGATTTACAATTGTCCATATTGAACTTCATTAGCACTTCATTTGCATACTTCTTTTGACACACAAATATACCCTTTAAGCTTTGGTATATTTCCATGCCAAGAAAGTAGGTCATTTCACCCAAATCAGTCATATCAAATTCCATCTTCATTGCTCTTTTGAACTCTTCCAACTAATTAAGATTGCTTCCAGTCACCAGCAGGTCATCAACATAAAGAGAGACTATCATCACTTCTCCTCTTTTTTCCCTTACATAAAGGGTGTGCTCATTTGGACTTCTAGCATATCCTAGCTTGCACAAATAGTCATTAATTCTGCTATACTGGGCTCTAGGGGTCTGTTTGAGACCATACAAGGCCTTTTTGAGTAGATAAACCTTCTCCTCCTTTCCCTTGACTTCATACCCTTCCGGTTGCTCAATGTAGATTTCCTCATCAAGTAATCCATTTAAAAATGCAGACTTTACATCAAGTTGAAAGATTTTCCAACTGAATTGAGCTGCCACTGCCATGAGAAGCAGAATGGTGTCATGTCTTGCCACAGGTGCAAAGGTTTCTGAAAAATCAATTCCAAATTGCTGTGCAAAGCCTTTAACAACAAGCCTTGCCTTAAGTTTGTTCACTGATCCATCAGGATTCAGTNTTTACATCAAGTTGGAAGATTTTCCAACTGAATTGAGCTGCCATTACCATGAGAAGCCGAATGGTGTCATGTCTTGCCACAGGTGCAAAGGTATCTGAAAAATCAATTCCAAATTGCTGTGCAAAGCCTTTAACAACAAGCCTTGCCTTAAGTTTGTTCACTGATCCATCAGGATTCAGTTTCCTTTTAAATATCCACTTAACTTGTATTACTTTTCTGTCAAGTGGTCTATCAACCAGCTCCCAAGTTTGATTTTTCTCAATCACATTCATCTCCTCCTACGTTGCAGCCTTCCAGGCTTCAGATTTTTCAGCTTCAACATAGCATGTAGGCTCCACTTCAGCCACATTACACCTCTCATATATGTCATGCAGAGACTTGGTGCCCCGGACTGGCATTTCATCCACTTCTTCAGGATTTAATTCAGCATTCTAAATTTCTGGATCTATGTCATGTTGGCTGCTGGTCCTTCTCTCAACTTTCCTTTTTTCCCAATTCCAAGTAGCTCCTTCATCAACCTTGACATCCCTGCTAATCACAATCCTTTTGGAGCTTGGATTGTAAATTCGATAGGCTTTAGACTGGTTGCTGTATCCAATCATGATGCCTACTTCAGCCTTCTCATCCAAGTTAGTCATTTTGTTTGTTGGAACAAACACATAGCACACATTTCCAAATACTTTCAAATGATCCACATTTGGCTTGACGCCATACCAGGCTTCAAAGGGAGTTTTGTTGTCAAGTGCTTTGGTTGGTAACCGATTAAGGAGATAGATCCTAGTGTTGACAACTTCTGCCCAGAAAATTTTTGGCAAATTTTTCTCAATCATTATGCACCTAGCCATTTCCATCACTGTCCTATTCTTTCTCTCGCTCACTCAATTTTGTTGTGGAGTGCATGGACTACTGAACTGATGCCAAATTCCAACCCCTTTGCATGCTTCTTCAAACTCATTGGATCTATACTCTCCACCATTATCACTTCTCAAAGTTTTGAGTGTCAAACCTGTTTGGTTTTCAACCAACAGCTTGAACCTTTTGAATATAGCAGCTACCTCACACTTTTGGTTCAAGAAATGCACCCATGTCATCCTAGAAAAATCATCTATGAAAATGATGAAATATCTACTTCCACTTAGAGAAGTTTGCTACATTGGACCACACACGTTAGTGTGCACAAGCTGGAGCTTTTCACTTGCTCTCCAAGCTTTATTTGCATGGAATGGAGGCCTACTGAGTTTGCCAATTTGGCAGGTTTAACACAATCCTTCACCTTGGTCTATTTCGGGTAGGTTATGGACTAAGTTTTCTTGTTTGAGTTCCTTGAGGGCATAATAATGAAAGTGTCCAAATCTCCTATGCCACAACTCTGAATCATCTATCCTAGCTGAGTGGTTTTGAAAAACAAGCTTTCCCTATTCTATAGGAAAACTTTTTCCTTGCATTCTAACCTTCATCAATTCTATCCCATCACTCTCTAAAATAACACAAGTGAGGTCCTTGAAATGCAAAGAAATAATTTTTTTCTAACGTTTTTCCTACACTAAGTAGGCTCAAACTGATTTTAGGCACAAAAAAACGTCAGCTATGAGTTTAGTACCTGTTTTGGTTTGGACAGCAACATCACCTTTGCCTTTCACCTCCAACAGTTCACCATTTCCCACCTTCACCTTGGATTGGTAACCCTCATCTAGGCTCATGAAATTGCTGGCATTTGGGGTCATATGGTTGGTGCAGCCGCTGTCAATCAACCACACGTCAGGGCTGCTTGCACCCATGCATTCAGAGAGCACAAACAGTTGCTCTGTACTCTCTTCTGTCTGTTGGGAGTGCTGGGAACTTTCCACAGCTTGAGCTTGCTGTTCCTACTAATTCCCTTACACACTCTTTTAATGTGCCCAAATTGTTTACAAGACTTGCATTAAATGCTAGGCCTGAACCAACATCTATTTTCAGAGTGGTTTTTTTTCCTGCAGTGAGGACAAGGAGCAAAAGTTCTTGCTGCACCCACACTTTTTCCTCCTTGATTACTCAGCTTTTCTTTCCCCTTCTTCTCTCCAGCGTACCTCCTGCTTTCCCCTTGAAATCCCTTCTTTTTTTGACTTACAAACATAGCTCCTTCACCCAAATCTTCCTGCCTCAGCAGCCTCCTCTGTTCTTGTGCTTGAAGGGAATGCACAAGTTCAGCTAGGCTGATTTGGGAAAGGTCATTTGAGTCTTCAAGTGAGGAGATTTTTGCTTCAAATCTTTCGGGTAAACTAACCAAAACCTTCTCCACAATCCGCTGATCAGTTAGCTCTTCACCAAGTAGCTTAATCTTGTTTACAACATTCATTAATATATCCACATACTCCTTGACATTTTTAGTTTCTTGCATTTTGAGCACTTCAAACTCTCTCCTCAAGTTTAGGATCTGCATGTTTCTGGTTTGGCTACTTCCCCCAAACTCCTCCTTGAGCTTATCCCAAGCTTCTTTAGGAGTATCACATGCCATTATCTTGGAGAAGACTTGGTCAGTTACTGCAGAATGGATGTAGGAGAGTGCTTTTGGAGCCTTTGCAACCTCCTCTTCATGTATCCTAATCTGATTTAGTGTTGGGTTTGCTCCAAGTCGAGGGATTTGTCTCTCTTCTTCCACATATTGCCATAAGGAATGGCCTCTCAAATAGGTCTTCATTTTGACAACCCAAACATGGTACTGCTCACCATTGAAGATAGGTGGAGAAAGAGGTGCTGGATTTGTTGCCATGGAGGAGATCTTAAGGGAGTTGAGGTTTTTTGGTCTGAAGGATTATGGTAGCTCTGATACCAAATGCTGGTTTTGGAGCTGGAGAATTCTAAGGAAAAACTACTATTATGATGGCACACACACTGAAAAATGTTGCATACGGGAACTGTTTTTTATTGAACAAAAATGCTGAATATAAAACATGGTTTGCACTGCAGTTACACCTACTCTGCAGCAGGCTTAAAATCAAAATTAAATAGCCATACTTTACTAACTACTACAAACACATCACATTACATTAACACCTAATCAATAACAAATTTTTAGCTGAATTCACCTAAGATAAACATTATAAAAATTAAAGAAATGTTGGTGCCTTACAGTAGAAACTAACAGCAACAGAACACCAGATTTTTGCCGCTAGAATATGCAGCTCTAGTATTACAAAAATGGAACCAACTTCCTAAGTTTCCAGTATAATATCATCTTGATCAACACGTGCAACATGAATGCCACGTGCTTCACCCTTGTTCGCCTCCTTTTCGATCCATAACAACATATTGTTAATACACTTTCTATGTATAGAGACTGTTTCATTGATTCGTTTGGTGACAAACATGTCAACTGTAGCTAGGCATCTTAATGCCCGCCAAAATGAGCCATATGGAGCCAGGGCCAGTGAACTTTTGTGATAGTCATAAACCCTCATAGTTTCAGAAGTTTTACAATCAGCAAAGGAGAGGTCATGGTACTTGAATAAATATGTTGCTGCTTTAAATGAGAGAACTACCATGGTGTTTACGGTACCTAATTTTAGCCAGATAACATCACCATACTTGTTTCTTAAGTCGTTGAGGGTGCGATGTGGGGCTGAACCAAGCTAGAACATGTTGCCAAATATTGGCCATCCTGGTGGTCCTGGGGGGAGCTGGTTATGGCTGGTCTTTCTCTGGCAGAAAAGAAGAGTTAACGCCAAGATAATGATAAGGCAGACAAGAAAAGTAAGAGGCCACATGGTATCTTATTTGCTCTCAAAAGTAAGAGGCCACATGGCCTTATATATATGTAAGCACAACTTGCCGTAATAAAATTATTTTGCAAGTAAGATATAGTGAAGGTTGTTCACAAATCACTAGTCAATACTAGTTATAGTAAAAGAATAGTCAAGTACAAATTGACTACACTTTGCTGCTTGTGTTATAGTAAAGAAATATAATTTTGAGTTATAGAGTTGTTAATATATTTAGAGCATGTTTGGCAGAACTTATAAAAATTAGCTTATAAGCTAATTTGAGTTTATAAATATTTGAAATTTAAACAGTTATATGTTTGGTTAAAATATTTATAAGTAACTGATAAATAGTTGACACGTTTGGTAAAATATGGCTTATAAGTATATTTTATTATTAAAATGATTAAAAATGGTACTACATTATTTTATCTAATAATAAACTATATGAACTCAGTTTTTTACTATAATATTATCAAAATATATTTTGATCATGTTACAATATAATTTAATTTTAGAATTAAATAAACAAATACTTTATAGACAAATATTTTATTATAAATTTATATAAATAATTTTTAGATTCTTTATACAAAATAAACTAATTAACAAATATAATGAATTATGATTATATTAAATAGAGGTAATATGGTAATATATTTGGTCAAAGTAGCTTATAAGCAGAGTACTTATAAGCCAAAAAAAAGAAAGTTGGTTCTCTCCAACTTATTATTTTGGCTTATAAACCCAAAAGTTATAAACAAACAGGTTAGCTTGATTTTAGAGCTTAGAAGCTAGTTTGACCAGCTTATAAGATTAGACAAACTTAATTGAGTAATGTCACTATTAAAAAATTATAGCTACCATTTTATTGGATCAAGATTGTTCTTCTTGGAGTTTTTAAGAGCTTATGATTGGTAGTTATGTAATGTAAATATACTAGATATGTTGTGTGGTAAATCCGGAAAGGATAATTCCCAATCAGAAAAGGATAATTTCAACTTAGGCAAGGAGATATCATGTGATACGGACTCTAAAATTGAAGCTGGAGATCAAGTTGTTTTCCTATTTCAAGGATTCACTATTTATTTCCAATTAAAACTTGTAATGGGTGCTATATAAACCTAACCCTAATAATAAGTTTTGAGTTTTGAGCAGATGACAAAACATACACACATAAAATGACGGCTAGGCTGAGAAAGAGAGAACTTGAGATAACTCTTTGTAACTCAAAGCAATTTCAGCAAATGCTAGATGACCTTAAAGCTTGTGAAGATGAGTAGTATGAGGAACATGGAGGATCCCCCCTTTCAGAGGTGGTGGTCCAAGCACCCTTTCCTCCAAACTTTAAGATGTTAGGTATGCCCACTTTTGATGGAAAAGGTTATATCCAAAACCAACTAGATGCTTTCAATGACTTGATGAAGCTACACTAAGTCTTTGGTCTTGCCAAATGTCATTGCTTGCCAGTCACACTGATTGAAGGAGCAAAAAGATGGTTCAAAGTCTCCCAAAAAGCTCGATAGAATCTTGGAGACAACTCACCACATTATTCCTCCAAAAGTTCTAGGTGAGCAGATGATTTTCAATGCCACTAAATTACCTCACCAACATCCGATAGGAAAAAGGTGAAACACTAAGGCTCTATCTAGAAAGGTTCAACCGGAAACAGAGCAAGGTCACCAATGCTCCACAATAATCAATTTGAACTCTCCTCATCATTGAAGTTTTTTTCCACAAACCAATTTGTGGAAAAAGTTGCAAGTTGAGGACAACGTATCTCTCCCCTACTTCTACAAAATGGTAGAAAAGCACTTACAAATCGAGGACTCACTGGTTACCATAAATACCAATGATGCTCGAACTTCAACCAAAGGCCCTACTCGAGATGAAGACAAAAGAAGGGACAAATGAAAAGATAATAGAGACAGTAGTGAAAGGGATAGACACCACTCTCCAACGATGTAACACACAGAACATAGGAAAGAGCCAAGGAAAATTCTTTCATTGCTCCCTAAGTACAATGAGTATAAACCATTGGCACATCCCTCGATCATGTCCTCACAGTGTTAGAAAGTGACAGGCTACTCCCAAAGCCTGAGCCAATGGTTGGACCATGCAACAAGCGTTATCCTAAAAAACATTGTAGATATCACAAAGATATTAGCCATGACACCTGACTGCACCAAGCTCTAAAGGATGTAGTAGAAGACCTCATCAGAAGGAGCCATCTAAATGATTATGTGGACAGATCACGAGCTCATCAAAAGTAGGGAGCTCGAATAGAGCGGCCAGAAAGCTCCCATGACGTGATCAATGTTGTTAGGACAATTTTTTGAGAACGAAGCCAGAGCCCAGACTAGTCAAGCATGACTACGGGGAGCCTCCTACAAGCAACAAGCTAAATTTGTTTATAACAATAAATATATGTTAGGTTTAGAAGAGCTTGTATCATTTTTATATTTAGAATTAATGATTATTTTTAGGACTCTTTTCTATCTAAGTTGTTTTAGAATATTTGCAAAAGTAAGTGTAAGTTTAGCTAAAAATTCAATAACTCAGCGACAACGCTTCAAGAAAGGGAATCAAGCTGCACCACGACTTAGAAGAAGACCCCACAATAACTCAAAGTTTGAATGCTCGAGAAGGTGATACAGTCAAAACTCGAAGCAAGTTCCTCAAGAAAAAGACGTCGCTACAACTCCAACTTTAGAGGGACAACCTCATAACTAGCAACCCAAGAATAGCTCCGACCTAACTCAACGGTCAAGTCTTGAGAAAGGTGTATGGCCAAAACTCGAAGACATCTCAAGGAGAGCCATAACTCAGTCGTGACTTCTTGAGAAGAGCTTCAAACGTAACTCGACAATTAATTCTCAAGAAAGGCATTCTATAACGCCCACATTGAGGTACGTAACTTATTTATGCTTGTTCGCCCTTAGTTAAGCTTATATGCTCTTAGTATTGCTTGGTTGCCCTTAGTTTTGCTGGTTTTAAGGTGGAAGATTGGCGAATTTGGGAATTGCAGGCTTCGCCGTGGCAAAGAAGAAAGTTCGTCGCAGCGACGTATGCTTTGGAATTTTTTACCGAGGCGAAGAAAAAGCTTCGCTGGGGCAAAGAGCTGGCTAGAATTCTTGAGAAATTTCTAGAGAAATTTCCTTAAGGGTAAAGTGACCATTCTATCCCTAATTAGTTGTAAATGTGGGGAGTGAAAAGTAAGAAAATTTTATGGAGAATGCAATGAAGGTGAGGGCATTCTTGTAAATGACTAAAGGGCAAAGATGGAATTTCTAAGAAAGTGTAGGGGCAAAATGGGAAAGTGTGCATATTGATATGAGATATTAAGGATTCAAGCACACAAACCCTATCATTCTCTACTCCCTCACACGCCACCTTCACTCTCAAATTCTCTCAATTCCTTTATCAAATTTCAAGGCATTTTAGAGGATTTTTGGTTGGATTTTTGGTAGAGATTCATCCCTAAGCATCCCAAGGTAAGAATTCTTGCAAATAGATGTGTGATTAATTATTAAAGTGTTGAATTCTTATAGTTTATATGCTTAGGATTTTAGAGAAAGAGGAAGTCTACCAAAGAGAAAGAGATTCTAGTGGAAGTACTTAAGTTCAAGGTAAGTAAATTCAACCCTAACCCTTGATTGAGCAATAAAAGTGTAGAGATTTTCTTATATGAATATATATGCTTGATATTGGTTGATTGAATTGTTGTTGAGTTTGATGGTGATTCATGATTGGATTTCCACCATGAGAAGGGATGGTTGTGTTGATAGAAATTGATGGAAGTTTGGTTGAATTTAGAAAGAGTTTGAGTAGAATTTATGGAGTGTATTTCCTGGCTAGGTTTAATATTGCTTTAAGGGAGTTTTACTCCAAATATTGGTGGTTTGAGAAAGAAGAAGAAGTATAGCTAAATTAGAATTTGAGTATGTATGCATTATGTTTGATGAAATGTCCAAGAGAGGTGTATGCAGAGGTGTATGCATGAGTGTATTTATTTGTGATCTTGATATGAGCTTGTAGATAATATAGAAAGACTTATTTTTATGCTACATGACATTCTTGCCTTAAATATTTGCATTTAGAAAGAATAATAAGCATGAATCATTCACATGCAAACATATGCATATGTATGAGAACTTGAAGAATAAAGAACTTAAAGAATAAAGAGAAAGCAAGAAAAGCACTAAAGAACAAAAAGAAAGAAAGAAAAGTGCTAAAGAAGAGAAAAGAAAGGTTGTTGCAATGGGGAGCCCGTGGGTGACAAGAAGAAAAATATTCCTACATGCACGCCACCTTCAGTGAGCGGCCTAAGAATGAGAAGAAGAAATTGTATGGCCCGTAAGAGTGCATGTGGATGAGGGCTGTACCTAGAAGAATATATCTACATGCACGCCACCTTTAATGAGTGGCTTAAAAAGAAAAAGAATTCGTACAGTCCGTAAGAGTGCATGTAGATGAGGACTGTACTCACTCACATGGCCAGGGTTCCAAATCCATATATCAACCGAGTCCGATCGGCAAAGAATAAGAAAGAATAAGCCAAGAAAGAAAAGAAAAGAAAAGAAAAAGAAAGAAAGAAACATAGAAAAGAATAAAGAAAATGCATCTCTATGCATTTGTGCATTTGTATCATACCTATGCATGATACCATGATTTCTACTATGGGTAGTGAGAAATTAGAATAAAGAAAGAACAGAAAGAACAAAGAAAGTTAGAACAAAAGAACAGTGAGAACTAGAATTAGAGAAAGAACAAAGAAAGAATCGAGAAGAAGAAAAAGAGTAAAGTAAGGAAAGAATTCAAAAAATGAGCAACGGAGATAGAAAAATAGTGTAGCAGATTTACTTACTGAGCAACTAGTGCTCACCCCGTTGTTCTCAATGTTTTTGTAGGAAATATGTGAGAAGCAGTCTGATGGACGTCGAAAAGCGGAGAGAAACGGCACTACTATCCACTATTTTAAGCTTTTGTATATGATACTTTTGTTA